TTAACCGCCATCTTGTTGGCAGTTAACTGCCAATCTTAGTTGGCAGTTAATTTGCATATACCGCTGATTAGCCAATGAAAAGGGTAGTGTTGTACGCCAATTACCATTTTTCTCTTTTATTAGTGTAGATTGTTTTTCTAATTGATATTAAAAAGCAGTCAAAATGACTTCCTTGGGCAATCTAATGTTAATGGTATAGGTAAGTGACTTCTTCATTCTGTAAATTACTTTTTGGTCAGGTTTTAACCATATTCTAATCAGATCTGTTTTCAATGGAAAAAGATTGATGTGTTTTAAAAACAAATCTTGAAAAAAAAAAACAAGATGGTGACATAGGTTAATGCGGGAGATTGCTGCCATGAACAACCAATTCAAATTACACCTAAAAGACAGAACGGACATCATCCAGAACCACAGAAGGATGGCTGAGTGGAAATTCTACAACTAGGAGGAAAGAGAATATCATACCCAGACTCAGAGGAGGCGCAGTGGTGGCGGCGGAGGGCGTGGTTGGCGTTTTCAATCTGGAGGGAGCTTCAGACTCTGAGCTCCAGAGCCGGGTGAGTCTCTAGGGTCCCAGACTCAAACTGCTTCCCCACTGTCCTGAGAAGCGGGACTGTCTGGCTTCGATCGGAACTCGAAGGCAGCTTTCTCTCCGAGGTTTGCAGCAGTTGCTGGGACTCGGTGAGGCAGAGCCCCTAGGGACGGAACTGAGAGCCGCCATAACTGCTCTCTCCGACCCACCCTGTTGATCCCGTGCGACCCCCCCGCCCCGCCCAAGCCCTGCGCAGAGCCATTTGCCAGATAGCCTCAGGCAAACGCTAGATTAGCACTGCCCTAGAGATCCAGCACAGAAGCTCTCCCACTGCAGACACACCTAACTCTCATAGCCAGTTAGCCTGAGGGTCAAATCATCCCCGACAACAACCAAGGCTTAACTACAATGACTGTGCACAAAGACCACTAGGGGGTGCACCAAGAAAGCATAAAAAATGCAGAGACAAAGAAATATGACAGAAATGGAGGATACAGAGCTGAAAACCACACTTTTAAGGTCTTTCAATAAGTTTCCAGAAACTGCCGATAAACTTAATGAGATCTACAAGAAATCTAATGAGACTCAATCCCAGACAAAAGGAACCCAAAGAGGCCCACACCAAGCCACATCATAATTAAAATGGCAAGGGTTAAAGAGAAAGAGAGAATCTTAAAAGCAGCAAGAAAAAAGCAGTTAGTTACCTACAAGGGAGCTCCCATGAGACTGTCAGCTGACTTCTCAACAGAAACTTTTCAGGCCAGAGGGAGTGGCAAGAAATATTCAAAGTGATGAATAGCAAGATGTTACAACCAAAATTCCTCTACCCAGAAAAGCGATAATTTAGAATTGATGGTCAGATAAAGAGCTTCACAGATAAGAAAAAGCTAAAGGAGTTTATCAACACCAAACCAGTATTATATGAAATGCTGAAGGGTATTTTTTAAGAAGAGGAAGAAGAAGAAAAAGGTAAAGATACAAATTATGAACAACAAACATGCATCTATCAACAAGTGAATCTAAGAATCAAGTGAATAAATAATCTGGTGATCATAATAGAATCAGGGACATAGAAAGGGAATGGACTGACTATTCTTGGGGGGGAAAGGGGTGTGGGAGATGCGGGAAGAGACTGGACAAAAATCGTGCATCTATGGATGAGGACAGTGGGTGGGGAGTGAGGGCGGAGGGTGGGGCGGGAAAAAAGAGGAACAAATGTAATAATGTGAACAATAAAGATTTAATTAAAAAAATAAATAAATAAAAACAATGAAATGTTTGCCTGTCTTTTTTAAATGTATTTTTGTTGATTTCAGAGAGGAAGGGAGAGGGAGAGAGAGATATAGAAACATCAATGATGAGAATGAATCATTGAGTGGTTGTCTCCAGCATGCCCTTTCCTGGGGCTCAATCCCACAACCCGGGCATGTGCCCTTGACTGGAATTGAAACCCAGAACCCTTCAGTCTGAAGGCTGATGCTCTATCCAATGAACCAAATCAGCCAGGGCTTGCCTGTCCTTTAAAAGTATTATTTGCAAGTATCTAGGTTTAATGAATATTAATAGTTCTATATGAGCCTATGGTCACTACATTAACTTTAAATTTTTTTTTCTACAAATAAGGGAATTTTGAAAAACGATGTAACTTTTTCCGTGTGGCCCTTCTAAAACCAATGGGGTCTAATACCTTGAGTAATTATATTCATTAATTTTTTCAGGAAACATATATATGAAGAGGTCAGCTCCGGGCCAATACAGCAAAAACAGAAAAATATACATTCTCAAAACACAGTTAACTCTCTGACTAAATGTGTGAAGGGAAAACCTAATTTGCCCATACTGGATGGATGTATATTTTGAAATAAAGGCTTCTTTTGGAAGCTGTGTCAAATTAGTTGGCCATGGATTGAACAAGAATAATAGGGAATGCACTTGTACAAAACCCAGCTGCTGCTCTAATATTTGGTAATGAACTGCTTTTTGTATATGAAGATGACGACACTAACCAACTGGAAGAATGGCATGTGCTGTGAGTATGTGTCTGCAGAAGTGAGGCTGGATTATTTCAATCTTCCACACTCTAGGGCCCAGCCCCTCTTGGATGTCTTGCACATATTTCTGTAAACTAAATGTGTCTGTGACCAAGTAACAGAGTCAAGACAACTGGCAGAGAAAAAGCTCAAATCCATCTCTTTGTTCTATTTAGTCTTGCATTCAAATACACTGAGCTAATCATTCACACATCACTGAACATCACAAATATGTATAGTTACCAAGAGTCATAAATAATAATTTCCTCTATTATTCTGTCTTGACTACTGCCCATTGCATAAAAGTTTCAGGTCATATCATCATATGACTAGGTTATGTTGAAATGTACTGGATTTGTTATAACATGGCCGATGACTTATTTTTCCAACTACTAACAATAGTTGCTTATTATAGTGCTTATTCCAGCCTGTTAGTGGTTATAGATTTTTAGGAGAGAACCTGCTAATATGTACAACCCTTTTGTTGTTCTTTATATTTAAGACAACAAGGAATATGATGCCTATCTCTCTTACACAAAAGTGGATCAAGATACTTTAGACTGTGACAATCCTGAAGAAGAGCAGTTTGCTCTTGAAATACTGCCAGATGTCCTAGAAAAACATTATGGATATAAACTATTCATACCAGAAAGAGACCTGATTCCAAGTGGAAGTAAGTACTATCAAGTTTTATATTTTAAAAGTTTAGTTTCCTTAGGAAGTTATAGAGAGGCTTCAAACATTACAGCCAAGTATTTAGATAGTTGTTTCTCACAGGAAATTTTATTAAATTCAAATTTCTCCCCAGTGATTGTGTTCTGACTTTTTAACATCCACATTTTAAAAGGCACTTTCACTTATATTTTAGATATAGTTTTAAGTTATGCCTTAATAGTATATTTTATTATATTGCCTTTGTGTTCTGAGGAAATGATCCTCCTTAAAAAATAGTCTGTATAAGTCAGCTAAAGTAGTTTCAATGCATTTTTATTCCAAAGTGGGCCTTTTGTCATTGTATTTCTACATATACATACAATCATTGTCACTAATAACTCTGAATTTATGCTTTGTTATTCATTTTCAGATTTATAGAAAAATCCACTTAAATAGGTATGTGAGACCACTGGGAATTGTACTTTCACTGTATATTTAAATTATTTTTAAGTAGTTGTGGATTATGTGGGCTTGAATGATACTTTAAAATTATGTTACACATTGAAAGCTATTTTTGAGCTTTCAGAATAAATTTGGGTCCAAGTAAAAATATATACTTTGTTCAGAATGTTTACAGGGTAAAGTGTATGGGAAATACAGAAAAGCCTATGAAATGATCCTAGTCCTGAAAGATCCTAAAATGCCATTAAGGAAAATAAAAGTACTAGAATTAATTTGCATGTGAGTTTATGTTGATATCCTTGAGAGGGGAAAACTGAAATGTAACCACAAGTCAGAATATGATTATTTATATACTTTTTTCTTTAATATATTTTTATTAATTTCAGAGAGAAAGGGAGAAATAGAAACATCAATGATGAGATAGAATCATTAATCGGTTGCCCCCTACTGGAGATGGAGCCCAAAACCCGGGCATGTGTCCTGACTGTGAATGGAACCATGACCTCCTGTTTCATAGTTTGATGCTCAACCACTGAGCCACACCAGCTGGGTCATTTATACACTTGTGACAACATAAATAAAAGGTTATATTTTCAATACTTCACAGTATATACAATATTTTCACACACATAATTTTTTTATTTCATTGCTACAATAACCCTATGTAGAGAGAAAGCAGGTACTGTCCTCTTACAGATGAGAAAATAAGGCCCAAAAGAATTTTAAGATTAGGCAGCTGGTAAATGTTAGAGCTGGAAATTGAGCCTAGGTATGTTTGCCTCTGGTTCTCACTTCACTAGATCATGCTATTACTCAATAACATTTATTCAGATTATCAGCAGTCCACGGTGGTCACTAAACTGACAGGAGACAAATTGAAACAACTGAGTTCTGGTTGCTCATCTGTTTTCTCAGAGTGAAAATGTGTCTATGTATATATGTGCATGTGTATGTGAGTATGCATATTTACATATTCATAGAAAAGAATAAAGAAAACAGTATTTACCAGTCCATTACTTTCCTGTACCACAAATGAAAAAATTTCCCAAACTTCTTCACATGGCCCTTTGCTTTTTTCTTTCTGTAATTTTCTTCATTTTGATGAATTGACATATCACTTCTATACTGATCAAGCCTTGATGAAAATGCTGATACCTCAATCATTTTTTATTCTTCTGTATCTCTCACCCAAATCTGGTGTCTATTGCATTTTTTCCATTCTCACTTCTACCATTCTAGCATTGGCCTTATTTACCTCATTTTTGTAATGTTGATTACTCTCTACCTTCCCTATTTGTCCTTTCATCCATCTTGTCCGACTAATATGTATACTCCCTTGATCACATCACTCCCCTATTCAACATTCTTAAATTGTTCACCATTTCCTATAAAATAAAACATAACTTTTAGCTAAACACTTCTATAGTCTGGTGTCAACTCAGATTTATTTTCCAAAATTATCTCCTACCATTTGCCCTACTTATATCTTCCACTCTAGTCAAACTGTGCCTTTGGTATACCTTATGTGTCTCTGCAATGTTTTTGTTCATGTTAGTATTTTATATCTTTATAAATCCTAGTTGTCCTTCTCCATATAACTGCCTCTGTGGAAAGTCAATAATAATTTCTCTAGCCCTTCATGATGTATAATCACTTGTTTGACTATAAATTTTGTACTCTTGTGATATTTTGTATTATTTTATGTACATTTCCATCTATTTATGTCAGCAAGATTCCAAGCTCCATGAGGCAAGGGACTCTATCTCATTTATCCTCATGCCTGTGTCTTCATCTTGCAGATTAGTTGAGCTCATTGGATGCTTCATAGATGCTTGTTGATTTTGCTTGAACAGTGCTGGTTTAAGACATGAGGAAATAATAAGAATAAAATACGTAAGGGTTTACATTTTTCATTGTTTTATATTTTAGTTTTCAATTATACTTTACATTCAATAATATTCTATATTAGTTTGAGGTGCACAGCATAGATTTGTGCATGTCGGTATGTGAAAGACATTTTTTTTTTAAAAAAGTGAATATGAAAGCTACAAAGTGGTTTTCCACTGAAAGAAAAAATATTGTGAGCAATTCATAGTGATGGCATCAGTCCTTAAAACAGACCAATGAATATAGTATTTTTATTTTTTCAGATATTTGTAAAATTAGCTACAAGGGGTTGATTAATCACTGATAATATTTTAAATACTTTACTATTTTTGCTTAATTTTTAGATTACTTTGTAGGTGTTTTTTGTTGTTTTTTTTTTTGCAAGAGCAACTTATTAAATGTAGAAATTCAATAAAATCTATTTTAGAGTGATATAGCCTAAATTACATTGAAATAACATCATTGCCAAGCAGAATTTATATTCAATGTTAAGTCATCTTGAGTAGAACTCGATGTGGTGCCAGTCTTTCTGCCTTCTTGCATTTCAAAATTGTTGGCTCCATAATAGCCAGTGTTTATCAACCCCACCAAGTGAATAGAAATGGCAGTCTTTATGTCTGAACATTTCATCATCATCTTTATTCTGAACTAGAAAACAATGCTTCATCATTATATGTTAGAAAGGGAAATGAGGACAACGTGGAACACAGGAGAGCCACTTACCTGAGACTCAGTAGATGACACTTGCTTATTGTGTAAAGAAGCACCTATTTGTATATGGCTGAGAATGAGACGCAGAGAGCATAATGAGGAGAGAGATGCATCTCAAAGTTATGTCCTCTTAGTGCTCCCAGATAGTCTATTTTGATGACTTGACAGGTCAATTGAATCAATCTGCTATGTCAATTTAGCCAAATAGGTGGTAGAGTATTTTACACCTTATTGAGTCAGGTGATTGTTTGGCTGAATTGATTGAAATTAATTAGTTTTTTTGCCATATCATAGACAGGTCTGAACATTCTTCTTGACCATAGGGTGTGAGGCTAATATAAGCTGTATTTCCTATCTCAAAACTACAATAGTTGAGAATATTAACAAACTATCTAAAAGATTAGAGGAGGTTGCCCTGGCCAGTTGTCTCAGTTGGTTGGAGCATCATCCCATACCAAAAGTTGGCGGGTTAAATCCCCAGTCAGAGGTGACCCATCGATGTATCTCTTTCACATCAATGTTTCTCTCTCTTTCTCTCTCCTTACTCTCTTTCTAAAAAATTAATAAAACAAAAAAGCATCCTCAGGTGAGGATTAAAACAAAAAAGATGATAGGAGGCTATCACCTACTATACCTGGGCATTTAAGTACTTTAACATAGAAACACCCAAGAAGATGCCATCAGAATGAGCAGATTTTATATTCCATAGCAATAATTTTAACTTTTTGAGATTACACAACCATCAGACTGAGCAGGGTCTTGGATCCTGTATACTTAGTGGTGGACAGGGAGACTCCTTTTACAAGTAAGCCATTGAGACAACTATGCAATTTTTAGATACAACCACTGGAGGGTGTTTGACTTTAATCCTTCCTTCCTGAACGGGGAAATTCATGTTCTCTGAATTCCAAGTTTGGAGTGTAACCTGCAGAAGTTTTTAAAAAGGTCCTTTGACAATTTTTCTTTTCCATCAACATTTCAGAGCTGGCTGAGCAGTCATCATGTCACGATTAACGAGTTTTTCCTTGGCATTTTTAGCATGCATTCAGGAAGTCGATGAAGTATATGAATAATATATTTGATTTACACATGAATGGCAGAGTAGAACATTTTGGACTTGGTGTATGTATGTTATTAAAGAAGCTTCTGTGGTCTGTACTTGCAGTCATTGGTACAGATTTAATAGGTTATGCTATATAAATATAGACACATTCCTGTGTGTGGGGGGGGGGAGGGAACTAGTTACAATATTATAAGCTATGTTTGTCCCTCGCATATCATTTAAAACATGTTGATCCAAGACTACTCCTTCCTCAAAAAACTAGCAATGAGCCCTTTGAGGATTGTAAAAGCAAACTTTATAATATTCTTGACCTACAATAATAATTTTCTATGAATCAAATTAATGAAGTCTATGAAATAAACCCATTCATATTTAATGCCTTTAGTTTCCTTTGTACCACTCTCATAGTATTCCAATTCAAAATCATTAATACCCCAAATCATTAACCTTTCCAATGTATACAGTTTTAAAAGCACATGAATGGTGAATGGGTCTCCCTCCCAATTTCTCTCTCACTCTCTTTCTTTCTCCCTCTCTCTCTACCAAGAGTTCTCAAACGCTTCAAAAAATCATGGCACTTTCCAAGTTGAGGTGGAAGTGTCTGTACCTTTCTCACATGGCCTACTAGGAAACTGTCCTTTGGTCATCATGAACCAGCCAAGATGTGAAGATTTGACATATTTTCTCTTAATGCTAAAACTAAAAGTCTTCAGATCTGGATATTATTTTCCTGGCAGTAACCAACCTTTCCATTCTTGGGCATGTGGCCAGGATCTTTCTTATGTTTTCTCAGGTTTGGTGCCTGAATGTGGCAAGAATTCCTACTTTCCAGTAAAAGTTTGGTCTGTCTCTTCCCAGGCTAGAAACATCTGTCCTGAGAATAAAAAAGCAACTTT